AAAAAAAAAAAAACTGTATTCGTTCGGTTCACATGCGTACCGAACCGAAAGACCCGTACCGAAACGGTTCGGTACGAATACGTGTACCGTTACACCCCTAACACACACACACACATACTTTTTTGCTTTTTTTTCGTTATATTATGTTGTTTTTCTGCTAGCCTGAATTTTTGCAACCCTTACCAATATTTTCACTGGGCCCACTAGTTTATTTTTCAGAACATTATTATTAATGTTTTTTAATGCAGCAGTGTTGGAAAAATATATAAATTGTGGTAGGGTTGGTGAAAATGTTGACAGGGTAAAAATCCAATCTGACTTGACCAGCAGGAAAAAAATCCTTATTGTTCAGCCTTATTTAGGCATTTAAAAATATTTGTGGTTTAATGTACATCAAGATTGACTGATATTTTTTCAAGATGTCTTTAAAAATATTTTTTATTCTATTATACTATAAAGATTCCTTATACTAACAGTAGGAAGTAAGCTGAAGCACCAAAGTGTTGTAAATCTTCATAAGATAAATGTTTTATTCACTGTAATGATATAAAACACAGGTCAAAATCTTAACTGTGGAATCTGTTCTATTTTGTCCGCTTCTGTGTACTTACCTGAAGATTATTATTATACAGTAATAAATCAAAAGGGGGATTAAGGTATGAGTGGTTATGAAATGGTAAATAAATCCTGTTCTTCTCCCATTTGTCTGGCAAATGATGAAAAGCCTGTGGGAAAATAAGATAATTTGGATCATTAGCCTACTTCAGTAGTTAAGCCATTAACCAGACGCTCAGGTGCGTATTAGCTTTGCTCACGTGTATTTTGCCTTTGATTCGCGCTGGGGCTTGTGAAGACTGGATCGACTTGCACTGCAGACAGTAACATGACTAATGAATTTCACCGAGTAGCTCGAGGCATTAGGCTTCACGCCAATTAAAGTGTGTCTCTGTGCCCTTCGTTCAACAGGTGGCTATAAAGATCATCGACAAAACCCAGCTGGATGCTGTGAACCTGGAGAAGATCTATCGTGAAGTACAGATCATGAAAATGCTGGACCATCCGCACATCATTAAAATGTACCAGGTAATGCCTGCCCAGGCCATTTCCTGCCAGTATTGTTGGCTCTTATATGATAAATTGCTTGTGGTGCTTCTCGTTTTTAAGTTGATTTGGATAAAAGCATCTGCTAAATGACTAAATGTAAAAAAAATAAATAAAATAAAACCTATTTAAAAAATAGTAAGATTTTAAGAGGGATGTACC